TTTGTTATATTTGACAATTGGCAGTAAGCCGACCAGGTGACCGAGTGGTTAGCGTGCCTGACTGCGGAGCCGATGGTTGCGGGTTTGAATCCCGCTCTGGGCATGGATGTTTCTTTCTCTCCCTGTGTTTCATGTCCTTTCTTCTGTGTGTGATTGTGTGAACGTAACCCGCCCTATAAACGGGTTTGTGGTTGTATGGCGTGGGCGAAGCTACTCCACCGCCGTGGCTTTGCCATAGGTGCTCACTGGGTAACGATAAGAGAGTAGCAATTCTGGCATTTCTGAGGCCAATGGAAAATAGACCCAAGTGCCTGCCATTAACCAAAAAAAAAAAAAAAAAAAAAAAAAAAAAAAAGAAAGAAAGAAGGAAAGAAAAAAAAACGATTGGCAGTGAATATCTAATACCCAAAGAGTCTGTACAACCGCATAGTATACAAATATGGAATATTATCTTAAAAAAACTGCAAGATCAGAAAAAAGAAGATGGTTTGCAACAAGTTAAAGCAATTGTCTCTCATAGAGGCGTTTCAGGTTTGAATCCCGATGATGGTCAGTTAATTTGTATATTACTAATGATACACGATCATGGGTTAGAGTCACATTGATGTGACCTTTAGCTAAAAGGGTTTTCGTCTTTTTCTTTACCATATGAAACGAATCTGGGTTACTTTTCCTCAAAATGTCTGCCATTGAAGCAAATATTACTCAAAGGTCTGGCCAAAAAATTATTTTTCTTTCCTCGCTGTGTTCAAAATTAAAAGGTCGATAAGCTGATGATATCCCTTAAGCTGTTTGAAATTTTGAAGAGTATTGGATAACAATATTGTTAAATTCTGCTGTAACCTTGAACCCACACTCGTTGAGCCCTTGGGTAAAATTGTACTGAAATTTCCCAGCTGCGCACCACTCTCCCATTGAATAACTTTTTTTAAATTTTTCTTTATTTATTTTATTTTTTTATTTTTTAAAACAGTCGCTGAACAGCTGACCCAATTTTGGGTTTACGACTACTAATGTTCCACTCCGTAGCCTTGTAATTTTGAACCAATCCAGAAGACAAGAAAACTCCTGGATCACTACCCCCAGAGGTATTAATTTGTTATGGAAACATGTAGGACTTTGTTACTTGACAGATTTAACGTGCATCAGTCACCATTTACTACACGGGGAGTCTTCGGCCGACGAGAATCGAACCCACGTTATCTTGGACATGGGTCCAGTGCCCTACCAACCAGTCTATCCCGGCCCTCCATTGAATAGCTTTTATATCAGGCGTTGAACAGCTGACTCAATTTTTGGGTTTGCGACTGCTAATTTTCAACTCCGTAGCCTTGTAATTTTGAACCAATCCAGAAGACAAAGAAACTCCTGGATCAGTACCCCCAGAGGTATTGATTTGTTATGGAAACATGTAGGATTTTGCAACTCGACGGATTTAACGTGAATCAGTCACCATTTACTACAAGGGGAATCTTCGGTCGGAGGGGATCGAGCACACGAACTGTTGGGCATGGGCCCAGTGTTCTACCAACCAGGTTATCCCGGCCTCCATTGAATAGCTTGGGGAAAACGAGTATTTTGACGCATGGAAGTTTGCAGCTACAAGTTCAGAAAAAGCTGGAACTAACACTCAGATTGTTAATATGGCTCTAATATAAACCATATTTTAGTAGCTTCTATTTATCACACTTGATTACACGACAGTATGGTTCAACTTGACCGTTAAAGTTTTTCTTATTGACGTCGCAGTGAATTTGCACGATGTTATGATTTAGGATACCGGTTTTCTCGTAAACATCTTATTAAGGATGCTGCAAATTTTCACTATGTTATGGCTTTGGATTAAAAAAAATTTTGAGAGTGAATAAGTTCGAATCAAAACAATCCTTTTCAATTTGCACTTCAAATAATTAATATCATAAAATCTGATAAAATGTATCAAATATATCGAGTATAACTTTGAACTGCATAAGATATATGAACAACCTGACATTACTAAATGCATAAAAATAAATAGAATGAACGTGATTCGAATGAGTGACGAAAATACAGAGGTTAAGATGTGCTGATTCGGGGGAGTTTGATTTTCTTGTAGTCAATGAAAAGAATTGGATATCAAAGATAAATCGGAAGTCATTATGGAGAAATCTTCAGAGGAAGGCGTTGGCCTACATTGGGCTGTCTGACCAACCATGATGATGATATCATAAAATCTAATTGTCGAATAAGTGAATCACACGTTTTAAGTTTGAAAAAGTTGCCATCAATTCGATGCAGTCAGCCGCATTGCTTTGAACTACTTAATCAGTAATGATTCTTTGTTCAAAATTAATTAAAAATAACGTTTTAACATCAGCGTAGTTTAAAATAAAAACTATTAGAATAAATTTATTACCGTCAACTGGGGGCATTTTCATGGTTTCACTTAAATATTCGTAAATAAAACTATAATAAGTGGACTTTCAACTATCACGTTGAATATTGAACAATTAACAAAGTATAAGAAAGTAACTTGTAAAATTTAAAAAAAAAATAATAATATCTTTTTTATGCGTTTTTACAAGTTTTAAAATGTAGGACAAAAATATCTTCAGCTCGGGGCTTCTTTGGACTACTAAAATTTTTTCTTAGAAATTGAATACAGTTGATAAATTAAATAAGACTAATGTAACACTTTGCACAAGTATTTTCTAATGACATAAAGCTGCAAATGACCAATATTTTCACGTATTTAATATAAAAAATTCAAATGTTTTAAAGTTTATTAAAAAAAAGAAAACTTTATTCTTGTTTAATAACTTTTGAACGTCAAACTTTTTATTCCAATACTCTAACCAATCATCTCGTAAATCTCGTTTCATTAGATTTTGGATGGTTGATTATTTTCTAAAAAAAATGAATTATGAAATTAATGAAAAGAGAAGAAGAAAAATTATTGAGATAAATTAATCTTATTCTAATAATTTTTCTTCTTCTCTTTTCATTTTTTTTTATTTGTCATGTTTTCTCTATATTTTTTAACGTATTTGAAGTGTTTTATATACTTTCAGATGCGCAGTGAATTTAACTTATTAATTTTCTTACTTTTCTTTTCATCCTTTTTGCGGTATATATATGTTACGGGCAATGTAATTATTTAGGTCAGTATTCATAATGCTTAGTTATTGTGAATAATGACCATTAAAATTGGGCAATTTGATAAATTTGAGTTACTTTACGATAATTTCTCACATTGCCCGGTCATTATAAATACCGCTATTACTTCTTCGGGCACTTTGATTAATTGACAGCAATGGGACAACCACGTGCGTGTGGTGTGATTCTGGCTGGCCAATGTTCACCGGTGAATGTTGACAATCAAATTAGTCGCTTTGGTGAATGTCCGTAATATTTATTACATCCAATTTGATACGAATTTATTCGTGGATATAATTACATTTATTCGATATTTTAATACTTACTGACGATAGATTAAAACAAACATCAGTGTTTGGAGTATCGGGCAAATATATACCGGTCAATGGCACTTGACTTTAAAAAAATATCAGTGTAGGGTATACCGGGCAAATGTATACCGGGCAGTGGCACTTGACCTTAAAAAAACATCAGTGTAGGGTATACCGGGCAAATGTATACCGGGCAATGGCACTTAACCAGACCTAGTATGACTAGACCTTCGGTAAATGTCCAAAATATATACTAGGTCTAGTGCCACTTTTGTTATAGCTTAAATATTTAAAAAAAAATTTAAAAAAACGCATTTTTGCATTATACTTAATGACCGGGCAATGTAATAATTGCAACATAATTTATCATTTTGTCATATCCTTTTGGGCACTTTTTAAATTACCCGGGCATTATAAACAATGCCCGATTATTTACATTGCCCGTGACACACACACACACACATACACACACACACACACACACCATNATATATATATATATATATATATATATATATATAGTAGATAGATATGTCCCACAGAGAGCTGATCATTTAGACACGGTTCCCAGTAGACCGCTGAAGTGAAGCATCAGTGGCAGTGGCCAGTGTGAGGGTGATTGACCACTGCGCAGTCTGCTTAGGGACCGAGAGTGTGCGGTATTGATCCTCGTTAAACTGTTCTACCGTATAGTGCTCGACTTAGCATGCAGGTCGTCGGGCTACCGAAGAGGGGGTGTCATCCTCTCTGCAGAGGATCAAAATTGTGATAGCATGTCTTCGATCATTCTCAGTGATGTTTCTCAGACCGTCGCCAATAGCCCATTGTGCAGCTCTAGTACAATGTAAATGAACTACAACAACAACAACAATATATATCATTTTTACGCATTTTTACGCATTTTTACTTTTAAAATCATGCCCGATAGGAAACACCCAATTATTTACAACTGAGTTGGATTTTTAATTATTTGATAAAGTTTTATCAGCTTAAGAAATTATAAATAAATTGAAAGAGAATTGAATGTTTCAATGAAATACATTTACTAATTAATTATTTGAATTTTTTTATATTCAACAAAAAATTTTCCGGTCTCATTATCTCGTTTAAAATAACTATGAAATGAAAACTTACATTATACATTGAGATAGGCAGTCTTTTTTTAAAAGTTGAAACAACAATTCTCAATCAATCTTTTGAAAAAGTATTTTTAAAAAAAAATAGGACTGAAGGCTTTTTAATAATTAAAATAATTTCCCAGAAGAAAAGTAAAAACCGTACAGTTCGCAAACAGAAAGACTCGTGTTTTCATTTGATAACAAAAATCAATTTTTTTTAATTGAACCAGAAACCTTGATTCTAAAAACCTTTCTGCCATTTGGCATAAGAAAAACAATCTAGAATACTTTTCAAACACGATAACTTAATTGTTTTACTCAAGGTAGGAAAGTAAAGTTGAAAAAAAAAATTCTTTTTTCCTGCAACAGTCTTTTCTCAGTATTCTTCGAAAATGCCCGTTACTGAAAAGTTTGCGTGCGAACTTCCTTTGGCGACGGTGGCGCCCTGAACCCACAAGTGAGGGCGCCAAAATAAAGTACAACTCCGTTCGCCCCCTTATTTCTACCCCATGTGCAGGAAACAGGGATTTCGTTTCACCCATATCTGAAATGGCCGGACCGCGGGACGCAGCTAGTAGAATTAATTCTCTTAAGTGGGCTTTCCATTTGCTGATCTAGTTTGCCTTTGATGCATGATACACAAATTACAGGTAAGAATATAAATATTAACTAATATATTTTATTCTGAATTTGATAGCTAATAAATTTATAAAATGTATTTTTGATTGCTAATAAATATATAAAATATATTTTTGCTTTCTAATACATTTTTAAAAGTCATTCTGAAGAGAGAATGACCTTTTATAAATTTATGAGGAATCAAAGATATAATATGTAGTAAAGAATAAAGGAATAAAAGATAATAAAAAATATTTAAAACTAATAATGTTTTCATTACATCATTCTATTTTTTTACTGAGTTTAAACAATTTTAAAATTAAATGCACTGTTCATGAATTTTTTATGATCCATTATTAAGTACTTATTCTCTTGTTAGTTTTTAAAAATTAACTTATTCTTTTTATTCTACATTTGATTGTTATTAAATTTATAGAATATATTTTCGATTGTAAATAAATTTTTAAAAAAGTCATGCTTTAGAAAAATTTTCTTTTTATAAATTTGTTATACAAAGACATAAAAAATACTAAAAAATAAAAATAAATAAAGGATAAAAAAATTAATAAAAACTAGAAATGTTTTTATTATATCATTATTTATTTTTGACTAAGTTTAAGCAATTTTATAACTAAATAAAATGCTCTTTCTCACGTTAGTTAAAAATTATTATCAATTTTCTCACTAGTTGAAAATTGAAACTACTTAAAATATATCTAAATTTGGATGTAAGAATTATACTGTAAAATTTAAAGAATAAAAATAGTATTCAGGATAAATTGCTTGCTAATCGAGGAGTAATATTTCGTCATTAAAATGTACCTGTATCGAAAAAAAAAGAACTCTATTGGGGAACAAGAATTTTAAACTATTAAAATGTATATAAAATAAAAAAGTTGTTCCTTTCTAATCATGCAGGGTAATTAACAACTATTAAAAGTTTAAAATCTGATAAATGTTTTTGCGAACGATACTTAATATAACTAATAGTTTACATAATCAAGTTTATTGAAATATTTTTCTTACAATTTTTTTAATTTTTCTATAAATATGCTGGCCATTTTTTAAAAAAATATGGCTTCTGAGACGCATCCTACATTTTCTCAGTTATTTTTGCTGTTTTATTTTTGTCAAACTTAGATCATTTCTTTGTTTGATGTTATTACTTTAAATATGCAAGATGTAAAGTATGTGTCACAATATATAGCCCGTTTCAGATCTTATGCTTCAAAACTTTTCGTTATACCTGAAGTATATATATATATATATTTCTTAATTGAAAAATTACTAATATCAAAAAAAGTGCAATGCTATTTTTAAACTTATGATTTTGTTTCAATTATTTTCTTAACTTTTCCCTGTAAGAGCATTTATGCTATGAAAATAGGGACAAAAATAATAAATTTTATAATTAAGTAACTAACAATTGATAAATAGTAAGCATCTTTTAAGAACAATTTTATATAATTCTGAAAAATTATTTTTTTAAATATTTATTTTAATAAAAAGGTTTATATTATTCTGCGACATCATTTTATTTATTTTATTTGAGGGTTCGAAGATAGTTTGTTAGTTTTATTTCCAGTGCAAAGCACTTCGGCGTTACCGCTGTTCAAAGTTGGTAAAAAGAACGGATAAAAGTTAAAGGTTTAATAAATAATCTCCGTGTACAAAAACCCATTCCCTTAAGTGGCTCCTTTAGTAAAAAAATAATTATATCTTGTATTTGTTAGCATATAAATTATATGTCTGGAATATCCCTATTTATTCATTAACTAACAAATATTTTTGAATAACATCTCAGTTGTTTAATTTTATTCATTGAAATGTGTTCCATTTCTACCAAATTTAAAATTTTCAGAACTTGAACTTTGAAAAACTTGGAACTTTAAATTTTGTAAGTATTTCTAAAACTTTGAAAAATTTAAAAAATACTTGCATTCTTTAATTTTAAAATTAGCAAATTAAGTTCAATAGAACACACTTCAACGAATAAAATAAAGAAGAAATATTCAAAAATACTAATTAGTTATTGAATAAATATGAGAATTCCGGAAACGTAAATCTCCATAAGTAAGCATGAAAGAAGTCAAATCATGCTTTTTTGACTGATGGGAGAAATTAAGAAGAATGTAGCATTCTGGTGTAAAATACCTTCAATCAAAAATAGTTAGGTAGAGTAAAAAAGTTGGATGTTCACGGCTAAAATAGCCAAACATGAACTTTGAAAAGCTAAGAACTTCTGAAAAGATTTAAATATACTTAAAACCGTAAAAATTAAAATTTGGTAACTATCTTCTTTAGCACAAATTTGAATGAATAAAACGAAACAAAATTATTCAAAAATATTAAATAGCTATTAAATACATTTGGAACATCCGGACATATTCTTCCATAGGTTAATTTGGGCGAAGTTAAATTATTTTTCTGGAGATAATACCAAGCATTTAGGTGTGAAATCTCCAATTAAAAAAAATAACAGTTGAGTTGAAATTTCATAGTTGAAGTATCGTTATCTGAGCAATTCTTATTATATGCACTGAATCAGAATTTGTTTCAATGACAAGCTCACTTGGCACTATTACATACGACAGCTGGTTCATAAACTAAAAAGTGTTTGTATCACATAGTGTGAGTCCGATTCGTAATTTATTTATAACTACTTTTAGCTTTTTTAGTTCAATTAATGAATCGAAAGGAACTATTGTTGATTTATTTTTAAAATAATTTACGAGGGTGACTGTAATGAAAATAAGCAAACCTATCCTTTTCAAATAATGGTTTGGTCCATTGTCAGTGGCGCATGCGCTTAGCATACAAAAATCTCTAATTTGCAAACGTGGCGAGGAAGATGTGAGGAAAAAAGTCCTTTAATGCTCTCAAACACTAGATTGAACCAGGATGCGTAACATAAATGGAAGCTCCAAAAGATGAAGAACGTGATGTGGTCAGATTTTTGACAACTGAAGTTGTTTTTCCAACGTGATAAGCTGTTCTATCACCGAAAGGCTGCTTCATACGGCGGACATTTTATTTGATTGCCCACCGTGTATAGCATTCAAAGAAAGATGTGAAAGACATTATACAAAACAGACAACTCCGTTTAAGACAGCCAGAAGACGGTTGCTGATGTGACTTTAAGAAAAAAACTGGAAATGTCAAGTGGACAAAGCTGCAGCATTCCCCTTAAGGTCCAAATCTGTCACCTAGTGACTTCCATATTTTCAGGCATATAAAAATGCGGCTCAAGGGAACCATATTCGTGTCAGACGTTAATGTGAATTTACAAACCTTTTAAAGCAGTAACCTAAACAGGAGTTTCATGAGAATTGAATCACACAACTTGTTAGTCAGTGGAACAAGCATCTAAATGCATATGAAGACTTTTTTTAAATAAAATACTCAGTTCGTCATATATTCGCTTTTCATTTGACTCGATCTTGTAATATCAATGCAGCGTCACATGCTTCTGATAATGTGCTAGTATGCTATTAAAACATTTTTTACATACGTGTAAATCACGAGTTAGTTTGAAAGGTTTTTAGTAGATTTGGTCACTAGGTATGCCTATTTTTTTTAAAAAATTTAAATATGTCAAGAAATATATGATTAAATTATATCATTATCTTTGGTTTTGAGTAGGGTTTAATATGTCAGGAAATATATGATTAAATTTATCATTATCTTTGGTATCGAGGTTTTGAGTAGATTTGGTCACTAGGTATACCTCTTTATTTCTTTGGAATTTAAATGTGTCAAGAAATATATGATTAAATTATATCATTATTTTTAATTTTCCTAAAATAATAAATCTTTGCTTATTTATTTATTTTTTTAAAATTTTTAGTCGTCTTCTCTCTTGTTTGCTTTACTCCGTGATAGCTTTTTTTATTGTTTTTTCCTCCTTAGAAATCGATATTTTCCTCACAAACAAGGAACAACATTTTGTTAATAAAGCGGACATAACAATTATAATTTAAGTAAAAATATTTTGTCAATATTTAATCGCAACGAAATAAACAATTATCTCGATTTATAAAATAATCTTTCGTACTTTAAAAAAAATAAAACGCAAGAATACTGATTGGGAGTCTCAATTAAAAGAAATAAATTTAATTGTTGTTTTCAATTGTTAATGATACTTATGTTCCAATGGGATACTGTTTTTATTTCATTAAATTTAGAATTTTCATATATTTTTTTAAAAATTCATAGATAGGTATTAAAATTCCTTCCTGTCAAAATCTAATCTCTCCGCGTTTTTTTTGTTGTTGTTGTTACTATCGACATTAGCTAGGGCGCGAGCTTATAAATAAAGATTTTGATAGAAATTAATGACTTTTACTATAACAGTGGATCAATAGCCAAAATTGTGGGAAAATCATCTCAATAACATTTGAACAAATCACAATTTCTTGATTAAAACAGGCTTTACAAATAAAAATAACCTTTCAGCGGGTTAAATTTCAGTTAATAATTCTTAAACAAATGTTTGAATGTTAAATTTTTCCCCCATCGTTTTCATTGTACATTTTTATACCTTTCTCATTTCAAGTTAAATATTATAGTTTTTATGATCACCAAAACAAAAAAATGTAAATTTAATTTTAACACCCTAAACAGCACAAGTAGAAGTGGATCTGACTTTTTATTAATGGAGGGCAACTCATTTAATAGAAGCAACAAGCTTCAGATACAGTGTTGAGTGCATTTTATTTTGATGATAAGTCTCAATTTCAGATAAATATGTACAGTAAATCAGTACTACTCAGAATTCACAAATTTCCATTATTGATGCAATTTTTTCATGGGACAAGCTCCGGAAGAACCCTTCGTCGAATCAAAGAAATTTTCATCGTCTTTATTTGAAGAAAAGTAATCAGGCTTAATGGTACTCCTAGATTAAAGCAATTGAAATTTAACATGAAGTAATAACAGTATAGTGAATATGAAAAAAAAATGTGCACAAGAAGCTTAACATTTGCTTGTCTGTATGAAGTTGCTCATAGAATTTATACCAATATCAGATTTA